CCCGTGCGGACGGGCTGCCCGCGGGGAGGCTCCCGGGCGCCGGGTACAGACCCAGCCGCGGTCACCTCGGAGCGCCCGAAAGACACCTAGCGGATAGGAACGGCTGTCGGTTTTCTTTCTTTGCTCGCTCTTTCTTTGTTTTCTCCTCTTCAGCGTAAAACGAGCGGCGCTTTTAACGCTGGGGAGGGTTTCGGAAGCGTGGCGGGCGCCCGTCCAGCGGCCCGCGCGTTGTTTGGGGAGAGTTGCTATGCGAGCGGCCACTCTTGACGCTGGGTTTTGCTCCGCTTTCCTCCTCACAGGTGTTCCCTCTCAAACACTACCAGGACAAGATCCGGCCGTACATCCAGCTGCCGTCGCACAGGAACATCACCGGCGTCGTGGAGGTGATCCTCGGCGACACCAAAGCCTACGTCTTCTTCGAGAAGGACTTTGGGGACATGCACTCCTATGTGAGGAGCTGCAAGAGGCTGCGGGAGGAGGAAGCCGCCCGGCTTTTCAAGCAGATCGTCTCGGCTGTAGCTCACTGCCACCAGTCAGCTATCGTGCTCGGCGACCTCAAGCTCAGGAAATTCGTCTTTTCTAATGAGGAAAGGTAAGCGGTTCTTGGCCAGCAGCCCCTGTGAGGGAGTGGATGGGGAGAAACGCCATGTTTCAGGGCAAAAAATATAGGAGGGTGTGGAATTTGCTAGGCGAGCCAGGCGTCCCTGTGGAGGATCCCAGCATTACGTGTGTGCAAGCAGTCACAGACCTCGTTGGGCTGCGCTTATGTGCAGTCTGGAGTTGAGAGATGAAGGAGGACACTCAGCGTGAGCTCCCGCGCGTTTGCGAGTGCTCTCTGAAGCCGGGCTGGGCACAGGGACGTTCTCGGGAGCGCTCCGCAGTGCTGGGTGACCCACAGATACCTGTGCCGATCGTTGCACATAACATGACTCAAAGGCTCCGAGCGCGTGAGAAAGGCAGCTCGGGCACTGGGCACGAAAGGGAAAACAGCTCTGCCCTGGCAGCGGCGAGAGGGAGGAAGCCCCATTCCTGGGGCAGGAGAGGAGCCCCCTGGAAGGGTCTTCTCTAATAACTTCTTACCAGGGGTGTCTTTCTAGGGGAAGGTTTCCTGTGCCCTTTGAAGCTTTTCTCTCTCTTCCCTGTTGGTGCTTTGTGTGCCTGTGTCCGCATGGATGAGGGCACGCACAGGAGCGAGGGCACTACGTGGTTAACTACGTGGTTAAATATTTCTTGGGGAGTTTTTCTCTCAGGGAAAAACACCAGAGTAAAACTTAGTGCGAAGCGTAGATTTAGGGAGGGATGATTCTAAGCTTCCTTGCTGAGAAATAGTTTCCCGATTACTTCTTAATTTTAGATGTGGGAGTTACTTCATGTTTTCCAGGTGCCTTTGCTGCTCTGCTGCTCCCTCCTTCACACAGCACAGCCACAAATGGGGTCTAATAAGCAAAGCCGACGTTGATTAGGTGTTTATCCCATTGGAGGCTATAATAAGTAAAAGCTTTAATGCAGTTGTGCTTAGTCTGGTGAGACTTGAGGTGCTGGTAGAGAAGCAGAGGAAAATGCATGTTTTTTTTTTTTTTTAACTTGACTGATGCTTCTTGAAGTAGCTTGAGGAGTAATGTATGAGTACGATAGGAAAATTAACCAGAACAGCCCCTCCGAAACAGAAACAACCGTATGTTGACATGCAAAGAAAGTAATTCCTTTGAAGGAAGCAATTGCAGCTCTTCCCACCCATAATAAGATGAAACTTTTGTTGAAATGTTAGATTGCACACAGTCTTGCTAATTTAGAAATGCGCGTTGCACAGGCGAATGTCATGTGCATCAAATTTGGCAAGAAGAGGGTTAAGCAACGCGCGGCAGACTCCTCGGCTCGCGAGCACAGGTGCAGTTTCAGCGCGCGGCAGCCAATCGCGGACCCGCCGTCCGCGTTGAGTCATATTTTCCGTTTACAGAACCAATGGGTATTTTGCATTACAACAGGAGGTCACCTCGAGGACAGGCTGCAGTTAACGCGTTTACACCCCGGCAGCCGGCGGGGCAGAGCAGAGCCCTCCCGGAGCACGTGAACGGCTCCTTGACGCGCTGCGAGCGGAGCAGGGGGTCGGGGCGGACCCCTCCGGGGGACGCGGCCCTTGCGATGGTCCCCAACTGTCAGGAACAGAAAATAAAGGATGGGGAGGTTTGAGGGTGACCCCGCACGCGGAGGAGACGTGGACTTTAGGTGTGGGAGGCCGTGCAGCTGGGCGCTGTTTGCTCAAAGCGCGCGCCGGCCTCACGGCGCTGCCCCTCGAAGGCCGCGGCGCTGCGCGCGTCGTCGCCGCCTGGCGCCGGGCAGGGAGCTGCGGTTCCCCCAGCGGGCGGGTTTTCCTTCTTAAATCCGTGCCTGGCTTCCGCTGGCGCCCGTTGGTAACGTGCGCCTGCCTTTCCTGTGCCCCCTAGGACGCAGCTGCGGCTCGAGAGCCTGGAGGACACGCACATCATCAAGGGCGAGGACGACGCGCTCTCCGACAAGCATGGCTGCCCCGCGTACGTCAGCCCCGAGATCCTCAACACAACCGGGACCTACTCGGGGAAATCGGCCGACGTGTGGAGTTTGGGAGTGATGCTCTACACCCTGCTGGTGGGACGCTACCCCTTCCATGACTCGGACCCTAGTACGCTCTTTTCCAAAATCCGGCGTGGACAGTTCTGTATCCCCGACCACGTCTCTCCCAAAGCCAGATGCCTCATCCGCAGCCTGCTGAGGCGGGAGCCCTCCGAAAGACTCACCGCTCCGGAGATTTTGCTTCATCCGTGGTTTGAAGCGGTCTTGGAGCCTGGATATACAGACCAGGAAACGGGAACTGCGGATCAAATCGTTCCAGAATATCATGGAGACAGTGACGATATTAGTTCCTTCTTCTGCTAATCCTGAAAATCTCAAAAAATCACTCACGATTCTCACACATGGCATCTTTTTTTTTTTTAGTTTTATTTTTTTGACTTTTCCACGTTGCAGACTCACAGCATCTTAAAGTGCCAGTATGGTCAGAAAAGTGACCTTGTGTGAAACAAATGTCAAGCTGTAGATCCGCTCCCTGAGCCTCTGCCAGGTCCCCCCTGCTCGCATTGCCGGTGGGTCCCTGCCGCCGGCCCTGGAGGACCCGCGCGGGAGCCACCTGGCTCATCTCCGGCCTCCCGCGTCCTCCCAGCTCGCTTGGGATCGCAGAGCTGGACCGCCGGGCACAGAAGAGGCACAAAGGCGGCTCTTGGGGTTCCCCATCCCCGCTGGTGAAGCGGTGCAGGGGGCACGAGGCGCCTTCCTACCTGAGCAAGTCTGACAGGAATCGGAAGAAGAGGGAAGGGACTTGGAGCTTCTGACTGCAGGAGAGAAGGAGGTCGCAATCCACCACGTCCGGCACCTGCGTGTGGCTCCAGCTGACCGAGTCTTCCCTTGGTGAGGAACACGAAGCTGTTAAAGGTCCCTCTGCAAGACAAATCACTACCCTATCACCCTGCTGTGACTCTTCCTGAAAGAGCAAACAGTTGATCTCGCAGCTGGATCCCCTCTGCTTTCATTTGCCGAACATACAAGCATTTGAAACAAACTGCTTAAGCCTAAAGCCGCCACGGCATATCCTAGATCATCTTATGCCTTCAGTGAGCTTTGCAAGTAGCAGCTCCTGTCAGCTCCGAGTGCCAAAACATATCCGTTTACTAGAACGTAACACTATGGGGTGGGGCGCCTTCCCTCGGGAAACGCTGATAAGGGGCATCTTGTACAGTACGTGTGAACGCCGTTGTGCTCAAGTCTTTAACACATCACATCTCCTCTCCTCCCTCCGCCGCCCCCAGAAAGGTAGTCTTAAGCATAGAAAAAAATCTCTCAAGAGCCTTAGTTGATTATTCTGGTATGTTGTTTGCCTCCAACTGCGTTATTTTTACCCCCCGCTAAAAAAAAAAAAAAATTGTTTTTTTGCATGGTTACTCATAGTCTTTCCAATGTGGAGAACGAATAGAGGGAAATCATTAGCTGCCTGGGTTGGGGTAAGTCAAGCTTAGGCCTGCCGAAAGAAATTCTGCTTGTTTTCCCGTTGGCACCCGGTGTAGAGGGACGCCCGTTGGCGTTGGGCGGTTGGGGAATGGCCGTTGGGTCCTGCGGCCCCGCGCGGGGGGATGCTGTGTATACCTCATGGACTGTGTGCTCTGTACATACCTTCCTGGTCGGGGTGGGTCAGGCGGGTTCTTTTTTGTGTGTTTTTATTTTTTTTTCCTTCGTTTTGTCATACTTTGTCCTACTAAGAGGTGTTGAAGAGCAATTTAATGTGAATTACTGTTGGCAATACTAACTTGACAGAATCATGAGCATTAAGAGCAGGGCGGCCGCCGCTCTCCGTTGCACTAAACCTCTCATGATTGCTTGACATTTGTATCTGTGATACAGTTTAACCCTCCTACGGAAAGCAGTACCTTTGTATATATTGGTGGAAGACTCTGCCACAGAAAAGCTAAAAACACTATGTCTGACTTGTAAATACGTGTATATAATATCCTGTGGAAACCTGGATGATAAAGTCTGACCTGTAGAAAGTTTTAATAAACTCGTTTCATAACGTTGGTTCCTACTCCTTGCGCCGCATCCCGCCGCCTGGGAGGATGGGGTGACTGGCACCAAGCCGCGCCGGACGAATCCCGGGAACGGGGGACGCGGCGGGTGGGGAGCGCAGCATCTGTCCCCACTGCTCCAGGGCTGGGCAGGACCCTGTTTTTTGGACAAACCAGAGCCGTGGCTGCATTTCAGTTGCCGAACTGTAGCCCACAGCAGCAGGGAGCCGGGAGGGCGGCGGGAGCCGCTTCTCCCAGTGCCTGGGATCTCTGGGGCTCTGGGGAGCAGCAGGATCGCGGCTGGGAACCGACGGAGCCCTCCTTGGGATCCACCCAGCGCGGTGAGATCATCCTGAGCAAGCGGCGAGGAGGAAGAGAGGCTGCGTTTTTATTTATACTTCGCCTCATGTTTAACTTTGTCCTTTTGCTTGAAATCTGTTCGCCGGAGCAACTGCTTCCAGGCAAGTCTCGGAGCCAGAGCAACGCTCGAGAGGCTCTCCCTATATTTAGCCAGTGAGCTGAGAGCAGGAAAGGGAAGAGGTACCTGGCAGGTGACAGCGCAAAGCAAAGCTCACTACTTGGTCCAGGGACACAAGGTGCCTTCACGCCCGCTGCAAGAAACCAGCCGTCTATGCAGTAAGCTTATTTTCTTAGCACTTGCCGAGTGAATGTCAAGCACCAAAATATCTCGGGTTACTTTGCTGAAGATATTCTTGCAAGAGGGGTAAAAATACATGCGTCACATAGGCCGTCTGATTAAATTACCCCCTGCCTTGCCACGCTTCAAGGCTTGGACAGGAGCCCTGAGGCATCTTCTTCAAACAGCTGCGTGTTTTGGTAAAACCTTGCAAACTTTCAAACCCCCTTTTTCTTTTTTTTTTTTTTTTCCTTCCGTTTTTTTATTCAGTCGCCCTCAGTAGGTGAATGCATAGGTCACCCCATGACTTTATTTCACAGGAGCCACACTGCAGAGCAATTAAAATAAATGCCAAATTGTAGTAACATCTGCAAGCAGCTTCTGTGTTGCTTTAGGGATTATCATGCAACATCCGTTTGTACAGCAGAATAAATTGCTAATGCTTCGTAACCCCATCGTTTGTATTATTGTATACAAAGTTTCAGAGCATGTTGAAAGACCAGCGTATTAAGTGATTAAACTTTGATGGTGGGTGTGAGAACTTTGATTTATGCAATGCATACATTTCTTTTCGAGAGAGTCATAATTTGTCCATTTTTAAATGGTCCTTTTGGACAAGGAATCTACAGAAATTGCTTAATTTCTCTCTCCTGGCTGGTCAGCGCTTCGATCCTGCACTTGCAGAGCCTCTGAGAAATGCCTGGAGCCTTCAGTCATCATTTTTTTCTGCTGAAAGCAAAAAAAGAAGTTGAGGTTTTTCACTGCTTCCCAGCTTCCATCCTAAAGCAGCACCAAGCTGCCTCCCAGCCAGGATAACCCTTACTTCATAGATATCTATCTCCGTTGACTCTAAATTGATGCTTAGGTTGCATTTTAGGCCTCAGCTCAATGATTTTTTTTTTTTTTAACAAAGTCACGGCAAAATGGATAAATTAGCCTGCTCTTAAAGTGCCAGGTAAAACAGCCAGCTCAGCACACTCTGCTTTAAGGTCAACGTTTCTCTGCCAAGCAGGTGATACCGCTGAGGTTACATGCAGCTAATTAAGAGATTATTCATGCAGTTTCAGATTTACCTACACTAAAACGCAGATGAATTTTAGGAGAGCACCTTCAAGTCAGTTTAGGACACTTCTGCATCAGCCGGTTACTGAGGAAAGGCAGGGGAAAGGAGTGCTCCTTTGTGGAGATGTGCAAGATAAAGACTCCTGCGCTTGGCTGACTCACAAAGCTCGGACAAGGCTCTTCCCTAGCTCTGCATTAATGGATTATGAGGAGGCCTGAGAGGGAACTTTAAACACAGACACTGTTCAATCTGTCCCAGTGCATTCTGCCAAGAAAATCTCTCCAGATTCTCTCTTTATACAAAAGGATATATACATATATAGAGAGTCACTTTTTTATCCTCTGGCATTCTGGCAGAAAGAAAAAAATGTTTAGCATTATGTCACTGCATAGATTTAGAAGCATGAAGAAATATCCTATGCAAATGATTCTTAAAAATATAATGTTTTCTTTAGAGCATTGACAAGAATAGCTTGACATATAACCACACTCTGAATTAGTCCGTTGCAAAGAAAAATAAGTCTCTGCTAAATGAACCTTCTTTCCATTGTTAGTAGAACCATCATAAAATTTGCAGCATTTTTTATGACAACTCCTCCCTAACTTAAAAAACCATGTTCTCAAAGCGAAATCCATAGATCGTATTTCGACCAGGATCGATTTTTGCTAACACAAAATTGCAAATCCTTCAGGATATGAGTTCACAGCAGAAACTTTTTTTCCCTTTTTTTTTTTATTGGATGTAGCCATTTAGAAAATGCCTCAAAGAAAACTCATTAGTTTTCATTGCGCTGTACGTATTTATTTACAGTATTTAACCAGCTAAACAAGCTAATGCGCAGCACTTCATTTCCTAATTTGGCTTTGAAGCCGTAGCAGCAGAAGTATCAATTACAGCCTGTCAAATGCAAACATTAACATAACTGTATGAAGCAATCATGTTTCTAACAACAGCGAGCGCTGCCCAGAGGACCAAAATAAATAAAATCCGCCGGGCGAGAGGCAGCGCTTTCCTTCCCGGCGGCGGCGCTGGGGCTGTGCCGTGGCTTGATGGCTCCGAGACGTGATGGGGCGACCCGGGACGCGGCCGGACCTGCCACCCAGTGTTCCTTGTGCAGGGTGGTCGTGAGGAAAACGCTCCTCTCCTGCGGCCACTGGCTTCGGTCAGCAGTGAGAGCCGAGTTCGATGAGTTATTGGTGGAGATGTTCTTGGTGGCTTCGCTTAGATTTGACTCCTCTTGCGCAAACTGCAGATTAGGAAAGGATTAAGTAACAGCAGTGTGGCTGGAGTATTACACACAGCGCTGGCGCTTAGCCAGGGAATGTAGCATGCAAAAGCCGGCATTGCCTAAGAAATCAAATATAGCTCTGGTCACCACAGAAAATGACTCTTCCCCACCACCACCTAAGGTGGTGGCTCCATTTCTCTTGTGTCACCCTATGCCTTACAGCAGAAAATTGTTCACTGCAGCGCTTTTTTTTTTTTTTTTCCCCTTTTAACTTCCAGGTAGTGACAAAGCCATAAACCATGTAGATGAATCACTGAAACCGTGAACGCGATTGAGAGCAAAGCTGTCGCTGCGCCTCATGATCCTCAGCCGGCCTCATGCTCTCATTGGGCTTTGAGGGCTGTGTGCTCTTCTCTGTGCCCTGATCGATCATAAGGTCGATCTCATGATCGACCGGGGAAAAGTATCAAAAAATGGTCTGGGGCAAAAGGGCTGCTCCAGAATCTCCTGTTGGAAAACAGCAGCTTTGCCAAGGGGATGTGGATGCCCTTGCCTGGGCAGTGGGGCTTGCTGCGTCCCTGTGCTGCATTTAGCCCTCCTCCCAGGGCTCTGGCCATCCACATGGGACTTTTTGCTTTTGATCCTCTCTGTGCTTTCCGGAACTCAAAA